GTATAGTTGTGAAAAAAAGCATTGTGAAAACCCTTTGACCAACTGGCTTTGCACGTGTGTGAGTACATGTGAGTCTGAAATTTAAAAAATAATGCAAATGATTTTTCTCGTGTAAGAGATCTTAAGATCTTAGGATTGAATGTACCGATTTTAATCGGACTCGTCCCAATCGAAAGCTCGTATTTCGATTATATAATAATGTAGATTAATTTTAATTGTATTAGCACACGATTTTCAGTATCTATTCCTTCTTGCCTGAATTATTATTGCAATTGAAGGTTGCGTTCAGTTTGGACGCTTTCAGCACTTCCATCCTTATTTTACGTTTTATGAAAGACAAAATGATTACAAGCATTTAAAGCGTGTGAGCATCCAAACCGAACGTAGTTATAGTGGACCAAACTATTCAAAGAGAAATAACGTTTAAATGTAAAAAAAATAGGTATGAATCGTAAATGGCAATTAATATCTCTCTCCTGCATTTAACTTCAAAAACTTTCTTTTTTATGCCAACCGATGATTGATGTGTCATAAATGCATAAAATTTGTATTATAAGAATATATCTAATATATTTTAGATTTCCGATGATTTTTTAAATTGTCCGTAGCAGTTTTATTTTAATTTCTCTGATTTACATATTCTTTAATTTAATATAGATAGAAAAAGCGTTTATCTCTATTCTAGGATTTCTAGAGTAAGATCTCTAAGGCTCCGTTTTTCATTTTCTGGTTAAGCTTAACCATAAGTTAACCACATAATGAAAAATTAGGCCTAAGGCCTAAGGTCTACATTAAAATAAGTAAAGAAAAACAAAGTACAATGAAAAGAATATAATACAAAAATAAGAAAAAGTGATGCAGCGAAATTACCGTAAGAAATCAAGACTGTGTGTAAACACATGGAGATATATTAATTATAATCTAGTACATCCTAGTGTGGCTATCGCGTATATCCTTTTTGATTAGCATGTCAATACGGCGATACCAATCAAAGTGTAGTGAAACTCATTATTTACACCAAACACACATTTCAAATACGCATGTATGTTTCGCGCCAGTTTTTCTGTAGCCAGACCCTGTCTTTTAGAGACACTAAATACTTTCAGATACTTCCGAAATAAAAATCTATTAGATAAAAGTTATATACAGGGACGTAGACTTTTGACTTTTCTGGGTTGTGTGGAGTCATTCAAACGGGGAAGGGGAGGATTTCAAAATTTTATCACAAATATTTTATCTTTTGTTATATGTACAAAATATATTTCTATATATATATACACCCTAATCAAATATTATTTTATGTCAAATTACTTAAAATTTTTTTTAATTTTTTAAAATTAATATATTTTTTTAAATATTCCGAATTCTGGGTGTGGAATTCAATACTCACAGGAGCTCTGGGTATAGAAAGCTCCATACTCTCCATAAGAAAGTCTTTGTCTATGGGTATGTACCTCTAATATCTACAGCTAAGATTTATATGTTTGTATGCATGCTGATTATATCTATCGAACAATTGATTATATCTATAGAACATAGTCAATAATGTGATACAAATCAATTCTTGTACATTAATATAGCTATCATAAGAATATCTTTTCAATCATTATACATTTGTCAAATACATACTGAAAGGTTTATATGCATTTATAAAAAAAATATTTCGATGTTACAATTGAATGTTTATGTAATTATCGCATTAAAGAAAAAGTGAAATAAAAAGATGAGGAAATGCAGTATATAGTATTTACACCACTTAATTCTCAGCTTTCCTCTTTTTCAAGGAAGGTCGATCAAATACTTGCTTCATCCCCGCCGCTTGATTATTGTGGAATTTGAGATTTTGAGCTGTCTCTGATATCCAAGGTGAATCAAACTGCGTCGTGTCCTGATCCACCAAGTGAGTGTATTTGGTTCTTCCGCTGCGACCAAAGTTCTTTACCTGCATGACCTTTGGTAAAATTGTCTTGTCGAAATGATCCTCTAAAGTCGCGCCAGAGAAGTCGCGCTTAAATATAGAGTCGTCCTTGTCCAAATAGAATGCGCCACGATGATAATATTTCTGCAGGAATTTGTACTTTCCTTTGGCCGCTTTATTGGTGATCATCTTAGGATTCAGTCGTGCCTCCTGCCTTCGTTCCTCCTCAGTCATATTACGAATACGCTCGATCTCTAGACGTTCCTTCTCAAGCTGTTCCCTCTCTTCGCGATCACGTTTGATCCTTTTAAGCTCGCGCAGCTTCCAAGCTTCATATTCTACTTCGTCATTTTCGTCATCGGTACACACATCGTTCAGCTTACTTTCCTGCTCGGTGTTACCTTTATTGCTCATCTGCGTCTCTTTTCGTACCGTCTCTTCCACCATTCTCAGAGTTTGCCTCTTTCGTTCCTCGGCTGCTTTCTTTGCCTCGACTTCCGCTTGTTTCTGCCGCATCGCCTCTTTCTCTTTTTCCATCACCGTGATTCTATCCTTTTTGCGAACGAACACAGGTTTTAATCGCGGTCCAGTTTCCTCCTCGGAATCTGTATACTCTTCATATTCCGAGCTCTCTTCTGAGCTTTCTCCTGATCTATCTTCCTCCTCTCCCTGTATTAATTCCTCCTCCGTTTCCTTCCTGGACAATACTCGCTGCTTTAGGGCCTCTCGTCGTTTCTCTATCTCCGAATCCGATAATTCCTCATCCTCGGATGAATCAGAACTCTCCAACTTGATCCTCTCTCGCGTTCTCTCTAACTCGATCTCGATAAGCTCAGGCTCGTGAATATGTCTGTGTCTCTCCGCGCGTACCTCGGTTGGTACTTCCCTTTGTTGGCGCGTTAATCTTCGCAAACGCGGATCATCCTCGTCCCTACCTTTTGTATGTGGGTGCAAAGTAACATCTGTGCTAACGTCGTCTTCATAACCCTTTTGCACACGCTTTTCGAGAAAATCCTCGTCCTCTGATTCTTCATCTGAACTTACTGCTGCATAATCTGGCCGTTTACCAGAAACATAACGATGTACCTTCACCTTCTTCATAGACAACTCTCCTGCAAACATAAACAATTTTTTAGAAATGCTGATATGATTAGAAAATCTAAGTGACATCATGAATGTTACATATGAAAATAAAAATAAATTAAATATTCTTAAAATAAGATAAAAATTAAGATATTTCGTATAAAATAGGGCAAATATCTTCTCAGTATTTATAGACATGTTCTGTATCTCCAAATATTTCACTCTAAATATCTTTATTAATCACTGTTGCACAAACAATTGTAATCTAACTACGAAACATGAATAATTTACAAATCTCTTAATAAATATACGACTGTGTAATAGGTATTAAAATAAATAAAAATAAAACATATGTTTAAATCATGAAAATATCAGAACTCAGGACTGATAAACAAAATTGCCAATTATATATTATTTTGTAAATTTTCTTCAATGTTGGAGACCATTAATAATTAATTACATTCTATCAATACTGTCTATTTCTACCAACAAAGTAGTTGAACTGTAATCACGCTTCAATGACCCTTTATTTTTTCTTAATTCTAAGAATTAAAAAAGATGAAGAGCAAGTTAAACTAAAATAAAAGTTAATCTGTATTGATAGAAATGGACATGTTTTTTTAATCTTAAAACGTTTGTGAAATTCGCTGAAATGGATGTTAAATAAATCTTTTATTTTGACAAACATAAGCTAACCTTTATCATTCTTCACGGGCACAGCACCCGCGGTACTTTGTATCCCCATGGGTGCGGGTGCTAAGGAATTGTTCGTCACAAAATAGTCCATCATCATTTTGATGCCGTATCGAGAAACGTGTGTTACTGGAATACAAAAACTAAATACAATTCAAACGGGCTTTTACTTGACGAACTGACGAAAATGACAACAAGAACACGAACGCTCTCTCCGAAGTCCGAAGTCTGAACTTTGCTGAACTCGGAGCAACTCGGAATATCCTGAAGTATGACATTATATATATATAGCAGTGGTCCACGTTATCTACAGTCGAAAAAAAGATCGTGTTGTTATTCACGATCGATAAAATTAAAGATTTAGGTTATCGATTTTAATTGATTTTCATTTTTCGATTAATCGTTTCTTCGTTCAAAAATTGTTAAAACTTAAACGCTTCGGATTGATACTAAAATATCGAAATATAATAAGATTATTCTTTTTAATTGAACTTGTTGCATGGTTACATCTTTCCTTCTTTTTTCTTCATGTTGAATTTCGCAACCGTTTACATATAAAAGTGGTCCACATTTTATCGAAGAGATATTTTAGGATGCTTAGTGGACATTCTTATTAGAACTGCTTTGGAGATCCTGTACTATGGAGTCACTATAATTATAACAGGTTACAGTCCATTTAATGTTACAAATTCGAAGCATTTTTTGATTGGTCAGTTAATAAAATTCTTTCTTTCGCGATTGATCAATCAAAAGTTTCGAAGCATTTATAGCGTCAAGTGGACCGCACCCATAGTTGCTTTCCATTTTGCACACAAGTGAAACTGAGTCATCTGAAGTGAGCTGAGTATTTCATACTCAGATTAATGACGTCATTATTTGCTTAGTTTGGTAAAAAGTTATCACAGACAACACAGGTTCGAACCTGACTTTTAAAATGAGTTTACGAGACTCACTGAAGCAGTCTAGATTTTGTGCAGATTATAGGCAAAAACTCAATTAAATCTCACTTGTCAGAAGATAAAAAGAACGCGTATTCAACTGACTTGTGAGTTATGACGTCACAAGTGAAAATTATCTGAGAATCGGTATAAATGGAAAACAACTAATATTATATATGTACAATAATAATATTATAATAATATATATTATATATATATATATATATATATGTTATTATTATATATATTATTATGTTAATATATAATATTATATATGTACAATGGGAATGCGTTACAGTTTCGATATTTTCTTCGTCTAATTTAGAACGTAGCGGCAATGGCGTGATGTTGGCGTTAAATGTTGCCGATCATCATGCCGTGAAGTGAGGCGATTAAGACGAGACGCGACGAATGGCGCCTGGCAGCATGGGCCGCGTTCTCTTCTCTGATCCTCCCGATGCTCGAGCTGCGTTTTGCCGCGCTAACGAGGAGACAGACAAGCCGTTCAAGGTAAATCGACATCATTCCTGAATCCAATTCGCTACATCCATCTCAATGAGTCTATCGGTCGTCCGAGCCTCGAGCGATCGCGCTCTTATTTCATAATATTATATATAATTACAAACGCAAAATCGCGTTAAGGCGAGACTATCGTGAATAATGAGCAAACACATGCCCTTCTTTTGGCGTTAAATTTAAAATATAGCTACGACAAAAAAATTACATTACAATGCTACAAAGAAACGACTGTGCACGAAAAGAAAAAAATGGAAAAATACAAAATAATTATGATACGAGGTATCGATAACACGAGGCCAAATATAATTATCGATATGAAGATATATCTTTAATGACCGTTTCGATAATGACCCTGGTTATTTATAATTTAGTAATAGAAGTAGCCGTTATCACAATCAATAATGACCTGAATCATTTGGTATTATTACAATTGTATTCAACGTGATTGTTGCGTAAATGTGATGCATAAAATATTTACTTATATAAATATTTACTCGGTTTATGATGTGCAAGTATCTAATTTGCTAAAAAAAAAACAAACCTTTTCTTTCTAATTGTAAGTCATATCTTACTTCTTATTATTTGTTATCCATAATCGAGGTGGAATGAGATATAGATTATACATAATATTGTAACAGATTTATTTTTAATACACGATATATATATATATATAAATATTGGAAACTATATACAAAAAAATTAATTCTACCTGTGCATATAAATTCAAGTTACAGTCACAAGTACGTGACACGCATGATGGAGAAGGCCGTAGCAAATTCTTCATTGCAAAGCAAGATTGGAGACAATAACCATCAGACAGATAAAAGAGATTTAAATCCGACATCTCACTGTAATGAAGCTCCTGCTATGCAACAGCAGGCACAGTTTACATGTTCTCTATACATTTCGCGTGCTGGCAGCTTTCAAGAACAAAATCACAGGATTCAAGGTGATAATACAATATTTGCTGCATTTTGAAGGAAACTGCGTTCTACTGCGTTCTAATTTATAGTCGCATTTATGGATATATTGGGTGAACGCAAAAATTCGTGCCCAATTTATTATTCAAAATTCAAACAGCTGCTATTTTTGTTAAAAATAAAATAAAATCTAAATCTTACTCTATTTGATGAGAGATTTAAGAATCTGCTGTTTTAAATCGTGATGGTTTTGATAGAGTTATGAGCAATCGAAGTCAAAATATTTTTTTTATTTAATTTGCAACAATTCAGTAACAAAAAATCGTAGGGGCATTTTTTAAAAACAATTTTAACTAGGGAAAATTTTAAGCTTTTACATTAGAAATTCAAAAATTGCAAATTTGTTTGGACATGTGGCAAGCCCACAAAAGAACAAATTTCCTGTTTTACTTAACTCGTAGTTTTCTATACGTAAAAATTATAAAACTCACATAAATTAAAAATATATAATAACCACTCGAAAGTAGAGATTTCAAGCTTTAAAATTCTTTTCTTAAATTTAAATTTCGTTTATTTTTAATAAAAGTGCATCTGTTTGAACTTTGAATAATAAATCGAACACAAATTTTTGCACTCACCCAATATATACTAATTTAATTTAAATAGTAATACAAGACTATAATATATAATTATCGAAATTTAATATTCACTTTACAATGTCAGTTGAATAGCATAAAAATATTCAAATAAGCAAACATTAATATTTTCTATTAATCTCGCTTTAGTTTTAGATCGATATTTTATTATTTATTCCTTGAGTAGATTGCGAACTACTACGAACTCATCTCGAAGAAGCTATAGCGGCTTCCGAACCACTATCGATGTGGCGTGTCTCTGAGACTCCATGTGGTCTTATAGCTGCTTTCGTACGAGAAAACGATGCCGAGAAACTCTTGCAACGCGGCGACTTAGCTCGAGTGTTTGGAGGACCAGTACAAGTACAAAGTTTATTTACACTCGATTTTACCCGACGCATTTTACACAACATTACATATAGGCTTTCTGCAATAAGCCATTACCTAAGCTATAAATCTTAAACCGTAAGAAATTGACTAATCATGGTTGATTAGTCTTCTTATATTCGACTGTAACTGATCAATTTTTTATATGCAGCTTAAGACTTAAAGCTAAAATAAAAGACTTATTGTAAAATGTGTGTTAGAGATATAAAAAATTGAGATATCGTAAAAATTTCTAGTATATTTTATTGTTTCTTTGTGTCTTTTTTTATTGAGATATTTCAAATATTTTATCATTTTAAAGCTATATTTGTTGCGCCAATTATGTTACTTAAAACGTCGGATCAATTCTTAAACTAAATAATCTACTGAAATACTTTTAAGTAAAATCTAGAAGTTAATTAAATATCTGTTGATTAATATATTTTACTAATTTACTTTTATCAGGTAGCACGATTTTCGGCAAGAGATTCCCGATATCGCCAAGCCGTGCTTCTGAGAGACGTGCCATGGGCTATACCGCTGCAGGATATAAATTCGGCTCTGGCAAAGCAAGGAATTGTCGCAGGAAATGTTGAACGTTCTCGACAATTTGTTCGAGTAGAAGTATGAAGAATGCTTATTTTCTATTTCTAAATTAGCCTGTGATAACATTTTATTATTTCTATTGTGTAGATAAAGAAATAGTAATTTAAAACAATGGAAACGTTCCTTATTGAGGATCAAGGGTAAAATTAAAATCTACATGTCAGTTGAGATGCGCATATCGTTTCATTATTTAAATTCATATAAAAATGTAGAATACAATGCAATTCTAAACCAGTTCTCATAATGAAGTTCTATAGAACATCTACGATATGACGTACAACCAGTTTTGTAAGTCAACTTTCGAATGAACTAGCAGTCAACCAAGATGAACGTGTTTCCTGACGAAATTAAAAACCGAGAATCGAATGTAAGGGAAGAGCAACAGAAGTGTAAACGCCTCTTTTATGATGTCTCAATTTTCCTAATAGAAACTCTATTTACACTTCTGTCACACTTCCTTTACATTCGACTTATACTTCAATTTTTATTTTCGTCAGGATTTTAAGATAAAGATCAAAACAAAGTCGGCCATATATAACCGTTGATATAAGTATGATGTAAGAAAATATACAAACATATGTAATACATAAATATAATGTAACTGCAGACAGTTTGATAAAAAGTGAAAAATATTGATCTTTTGTCTCCTAGGTTTTTGATGCGGGTCATTACGAAGCTTTGTTACGTCAAGGTCTGGACTTTTTTGAAGTGGCTCGTTTCAATGCTGTTCCAGAACGCTGGTGGCGAGGCACCGCGTGCTCGTCCGGTATACCCTCACGATATGCCAATGATGGAAACAATATCCCACAAGCATATCAAGAAAATATATCGCAAACGGCGGATAGTGTGTTGCAATGCTACCGATGTCAGGGTTTCTGGCACGTGGCCGCTAATTGCCGACATTTGCCTCGCTGCGTTCGCTGCGGCGAACCACACAGCGTTGAATTTTGTCCAAGGCCGCGGAATAACCCTATATGTTGCCATTGCTCTGGGCCCCACCACGCCGGTAAATTCTTTTCTTTGTAGAGGATCGTCTCTCCTCTTGTTCATCTGTCTCTTCACTAATATCCATTATATATATTTATGATGAAAAGATAATGAACAAAGCAATATTTTTCATGTGTATAATTTAATTGTATTAAAAATGTACACCTGTTGCTATGCATTTATTTCTTATACTTGGTACAATCGCATATGCCTCTAGCAATTCGCGAGTAATCGCTTTGTCCTTTAGCTGTTATTGATAAATATATGTTAATTGAATGATGATACAAATTAAATACACAACAGCTGGAAAGCGAAAGATACTAGCGCGGATCAGAAAAGTCGATTTCTCGTCATTAAAAAAATGTGTGAAATGTGAAAGTCGACCACGATTTATTCCGGAAATTCAATTGCGATATAAAAAAAATTACGTTTTATGCAAATCACCTTGCATCATAACAATATGTCATGATAACAAATATTCCTTTCTGTTCATTTTGTTCATTAATTATATAAATGCAGTATTGAGTAATTTGAGATAAGAAACATAAAAAACAACTTTCTTATCGTAACATAAAAATAGGAAACATAAAAAAAGAAGGTTCTTGTCGTAACATGTGGAACTCCATTATTAGAATTCGCTCCAAGAACTGAATCGGAATCTGTACTTACTTTGTATAATAAATTACCTGGTTTTGCAAACTGTCTTGTACTTGAGCTGTGATAACAAATCATTTCTATTTCCATCCTATAATCTATCATCAAAGTCCACGTGTATCATTGAAATTACCGATACGTTACATTCATATACGGCACGACTATAATGTGTTTTCATTTTTTATTACAGGATATAGACAGTGCCCAGTCAGATTGCAGCTGTCTAATGCGACTCCCGTGAGCATTACGTTGAGCACGAGTGGGGTTCAATATCCAGCGAGCGCTACAAATAAATCGAATCCCTCATGCCATTCTCTGAGACAAGGACATTGTTAAACAACATCGTTTATAGAGTAAAATTATAGAGAAGCATCGGTCTTATTAGCATCTTTTTCGAAATGTCAATGAAAGCGCATAACATCTCTACATTGCATAACGATCTATTACGAGCCACGAGTGAAATTTAGAGATTTACAGTGCCTTTCTATAAAATGTGGGAACATGTTGGCATCGCCATCGCGTACAACAAAAACGCTCTTCTGTAGAGACACACTATCGACCGCAAAAAATTTGCAAACAGCATATATTTACATAACATATAAACAAGATACATTTTTTATGATTTTAATTTTTATGACGCTGTCGCTTTTTCAAAGACACTATTGTGTCTTATTCATGTCATTTTTTTAAATTTTTATGCAAAATATATTGTTCTTATAAATGTCTTTTGATGAGTCGTTTGTTTACGATCGTTGGGAAATCCGATAAAATGCAGTTTGCTTCTTTTTTTCCAAGTTTGTAGGATTTTGTAAACTTGCAGTTACTACCCGTATTCCGCCGTTTCGTCCCACTTTCTTCGCCCTAGTCCTGAGAATGTAGGTCTCCCCACTAAGTGTCTGTCACTGCTACCACCAGGTAATACCTCGAGATCGTGGGAGGGAGTTGTACACGGATGTCATACTAGCGCTAACACATTCAGTCGTTCGATCGGCTACTAGTTCGGTTTGTTCAACTAATAGGTAGTGCCTTATAATTATGGACACACCGTTCGCGCGCGGGAAATCCGTCCAGTCGATCGATTCTGGCGAACGGTATCGGTCAAGTTAAGGGTGTCAATTCCATTTTTTAACGGACAATTTTTGTGTGGAGTTAAAAGTATCACCGCAAAATTTACAGTTTTTCTTCCATAAAAATACATATATGATGTGCCAAATAATATTTCAAGTAACGCGACGGGGTAAGTTCGGCTTCATTTGAAGCAAACGTTTCGAAGGGATCGATTCATTATGTGTGAGTGTATTTCTTTTTATTTTAGAATGTTCTTCAAAAGATCGCTATACGTTTCTAGCAGATGGCTAGATAATGTTCGTATTTGTACGAGGACTTCGAATAAAAAACTTTATGCATCGTAAAAACAATTTTAAAACATGTGATATGAAGAACTTAAGAAACTATAAAACCGCGTGTTATGCGGCAATTACAAACGTGGATCGCACGAGTTCATTTATACACACGTGGCACACCACATTATTTTCAAATAATGTAATAAATAGAACGAAGATATGTGGAGATCCACAATAAATTGACTTCTATCAATTGTTGATTGATGTCATAAATCACTTGCGGTGTGCAATCACTCTCTAGATGCGAATATATTTTGTATTTGTTAGTTTTGATATAGTTTGTAAACGAAATTTTATGTTGTATCTCTGTTTGCCCGCGTTATACTTGACTAATAGCATAATAAAACGGAAGGAAGATCGATAGTTTGAAGGAAAAAATGTATTCGGTGTGCTTAACGGCTTTCCTCGTCGTGTCGATATGCAGCTTGACCGCTCAGCAGCCAACGTTCTTCTTCAGAAACACATTCAAGGGGTTGAGCGGCCTCACACCAAGCGTCGTTGCACTCATGAAAGATGAGATACGAGCCGTTTATTATCACGAACAGACAGTGGCGGTGGTCGATCTCGGACCGAGAAATGAACTACATGATTGTAATATAATCGAAGTATAGTAAGTGCGGTCATCGTTACAATAATGTTGTGTTGTGTGTGTTGTGTTTGTGTGTGCACACAAAAACTATTATATAATTAGACTAGAAATTGAAACCGGTTTTCGCTGTACATATACAGGGTGTTCCGAAATTCGCGAATTAAAATACCATAGCGAGAAAATTTTTGAAAAATTAAGTAAAAAAGTTATATGTACATTTTTATTTGAAGCAGTAGTTTTTGAGGTAGAAAAGCTCAAAATACAGTCAATTATAGATTATGTTTAAACGGTTATTTGTCCATGAATCGGTCACGTGTGCAGTAGTATTAGTAAGTGGGGATTTTGGTGTTTAAACACAGTCCGTCTAAAAAAAGTTCGTAATTGATCTTTAAATAAGCCTTATTATTTCACAAATTATTGCTCAAAATAAAAATTTACGGATAACATTTTTATTTAATTTTTCTAAAACTTTCTTACTGTAGTATTTTGATTCGTGAATTTCAGGACACCCTGTACATAATCATTTCTTTCATATCAATCCTTTTTATATGTAATGTTTGACATGCATCATTGACTCTTGCAGTGAGCCGTCCGAGGCTACAGAAGTTTTGCGAAATTTATCTGTGACTTTACATCCACAAGTGGTGTCCTTCCAGGAGATAACGAGACTCATGCAACAATGTCAATTGTTGGACAAATTACAGGTGGAGGCCACATCCACTTTGCCTACAAACGCATTGAGTAGAGGGACTCGCATAGCCGCGAGTTCCATAACTCTGTTTTCCGGCATTCTGCCAGGTTAATTGTTCATTATAATTTCACGCACCCGCAAAATTGTAAAATTTGTTAACAAAGACTAAATATGTACATATTCCAGGCACAAAATGGTGCGGCACGGGCGACATAGCCGAAAATTATCATGACTTGGGCGATTTACCTCATATTGACAGGTTGAAATTTAGACCATAATTTACCTATTTTTACAAATATCAGGGAAGTAAGACAAATCTTTGTTTTTCAGATGTTGTCGTAATCATGATCTCTGTCCAATAAAAGTACGAGCCCAACAGACCCGATACAATCTCACTAATTATTCAATATTCACTAAGTAAGATCTTATCAGAAATTGGTAAAAAAAATAAATTAATCTATTTTGATAAAAAAATTTTAGTGTGTCTTTAAATTATTTATATCATATTATTATTAATTACAAAATTTTCATGTTAAAATTTAAAATTATCTTTACCTTACAAATTATCTCTGTTGATTGTCTCAAAGTTCTTTCTATAAGACAATCAGTCTTAAATTTAATATTTTACAGATCACATTGTACTTGCGACCAAGCTCTTTATCAATGTTTAAAGGCTGCTAACCATCCAACGGCGAATTTCATGGGACAAATATATTTCAATATTGTTAAAGTGCCGTGTATAGAAGATATCGGAAGAAATCGATATCCATTAAGAAAATTCGTACCTGTAAAAAGGGAATATTAATTACAAGATACTAGCAGCATATGTATATAGATAAAATGTGTTATATTTAAAATATATAAAAAAACTCGGTATATATATACTCCGTCCAATGATAAATGAAATTAATATTTAGAATTGTACATACAATCAAAGGGATATAAATATATTTTTATATTTGCATCACGTATTTTATAAGTTATTTTTACAAACATAATGTACCTTTCTTTGAAATAAGATGTCATTTTAACGTGTATTTACATTCATACAGAATTTTCAACTGAGGAAAAAGCCTGATTCAATGCTAATAAAAAAGGTATAAGATCTCTTATATTTTTACCAACACTGGATGATTTATGATTGTACAAATTTCCTACAACAATTAGAATATAATTATATTTCATTCTTATTCCATATCTGTTTTAAAAATATTGAAAAAAGATCAGTACCTATTAACCACATAGTTTCTCTTCTAATGTGCATATAAGGATGCGATAACAATTTATTCAATAAAATATACAAGTCTTCGTTTGAATATTTCGGATTCTTCAAAAGAATATCTATTCTATCTTCACAGGAATTATGCAATGTGTTAGCTAGAATACGTATAGATGCTGTAATCTAAAATAGAAAGAGTTAAAAATATGATTCTTAATATTAGAAAATTTCATATTTTGTTATATAAAGAAGAAAAAGCAAACCTCACTGGCTTGAACGATTCCATCTGAATTGGAAAATGTTATGTAAAGATAGTCAACGACTTGTGGCAAAATAGTATACAAAGATTCAGTACATATTGATGAAGAGGATAATAAAGCTAATAACCAAATATAATTAGGATTTTTGTACAAGAGATTCCGTTTTATGGTAATTTCAATCAGCTCTAACATTTCACTTTCTCTGTAAATATATCAGAAAAATATATTAAATTTTCTCTTGTAAATTTTACATCTTTATATTACAATGTGTAAAAGTGAATAATACTTACGATATCTTGTGAAATCCCACATGTATGTAATGTAAGAGCGCATATATTACAGAAGGAAGAACTGAGTCGTCACAATTGTGCAACAGTAAAATTACATATTTCAGGCAATGCTGAGCATGCAAGATAGAGAAAGCCTTATTGCTTCCTGCAACTAAATTACCGATTGTCCAAATGCAAACATCCTAATAAAATATGAATTCATGTACCTCAAGTTCACTTTCATTGTCTTTTATTATTTTATTTCTTTTACTTAATATTGAAGAAACTTACCAGCAATGCATAATTTAAACTTTCTAATTTGACAACCAAATATGGAATAACTGCTTTTCCCAATGCTGTACATGCTTTCGTATTTCCCAAAGCAATATTACAACAGCAATTAGCTGCATATAATTGAAAAATTGGATCATTGCCAGATAGGTCACGTACAAGGCCCGATAAGCTTTGGTCTACTTTTAAAAAAGCATTTATGTTCTCCTCCGACTGAAACAAATATAAAAGATTACATATTATATTATTTTATATATTATATATTTTATATAAATAATTGGTAATTTTTACAAGACTCTAATAGAAGGTTCATGAATTGTTTAAATCTATATTTTGGGTACTGATAAAGTAAGTCAAAAGGTTTGTGCTTTTTGTACAGAATATAATAATAAATTGAATTGTAATTCTTAGAACAATCTGTCTTTTGCTCATTATAGTCACTAGATATTGATTATATTTTTATAAGATACTCTATATTTTATGAGATTAAAATATAATTCTGATATTTGATAAAGATTACTTCAGTAAGAATACCTGAATAAGAGCATTGGGCAAATATCTGTAATCCGCGAGGGATATTTTTTTTCTCTTGAGAAGCTTTACTTTCTTGTTGATGTACTCGATGGAAAACAATTCGATCCCAGGACATTCTCCCAAATTAGTACGACTCTTGTTCCAGGCGGACACACGATTTTCCTTCCTTTTTATTAAGGCAGCTTCCCTCAATTCCGTTCGTATGGTTTCAATTCGGTCGCCGTCATTCGAAGAAAGTTCCGTGGCTTCATCTATCTCCTCGTTGACAGCCTGCATCTCAAACTAAATTTTATCAACCCTTTATTACAGGTAAACTATCGAATACTAGTTCGCAGCATCCAAATCTTTGAGTAAACCAAAAAGGAGTATATTAACAATCTTCCTCTATGAAGTAAACAATTCAAATATAACCTCACTTTTTCCACGTTTAATAACACAGGAACTGTTTTACCGGTAAAATACTTTCAGTTTCATGCCGCTGCATTGCGAACTTTACGTTACCAACGAAATGGCGGTACGTCAAGGTTCCAAGGAAATGAACGTATAGATGGCGCGAGCGATGGAAAGGTTAGGTTTAGACGCCGTTGTAATTCTCTGATGAATAATCCGATCACTTGTATTTGCGTTATTTCTAGCAATTTCTCGCAATTTCTAGCTTGTGACCATGATGCAAATAATCTACTTGCATCATAGTTTGTAATAGTTGTAATACGGAGTTATAAGTGGAAAACAAGCGTTTGATCGAGAAGCTCTTATCAATGTTAATAATAGTGTCGCAAGAATCAAATATCCAGGTTTAAGTAAAGAAATTAAGAAGTGTATCGTAAAATATCTTGTGCGGATAAAATGGAGGAAGTTAACCAGTTGGAACACCTATCTCTGGTGTCAAAAATCTGCACGGAATTGGAGAATCATTTGGGATTGAACGACAAGGACTTGGCTGAATTCATTATACATCTGGCTGAGAATAACAAGACGTTCCCAGCATTCAAAAAGGTATTGATCGAGAATGGAGCCGAGTTCTCGGACTCCTTCATAGCGAATCTCCTAAGAATAATACAGCATATGAAACCCGTGAAATCGTCCACCGAGAAGCCGTCTAAGAATAAGCAGGACGAATTGGCGATCAAATTTCCAGCGCTGGCGTTACCGAATGACAATCCACGTTCCGAGACCAATGATGAAGATATCGTCAACGACGTTATGGCCTCCCTAGAAGCGTTCGCGCCGTCTAACAAGAAACAGTCTGCGAATATCGAGAAAAGTAACGGTAAGATTGACAACGGCGAGAAAAAGAGCAAGCGGGAAAGGAAGAGCAGAAGCAGGTCAAGGGACAGAAGGCGTCACAGATCCAGATCGTCGAATCGAAAAGAGAGGCGGCGCAGATCCAGGACGCGTTCCAGATCGCGGACACGTTATAGGTCACGTGACAGAGCACGCAGGAGACGATCCGGATCCCGAGAACGCAAGAGATCGTCTTCCCGCGATCGTAAAGACGCGAGACACTCGAGGAGACGTGACGCCGACAGATCCAGATCCCGTTCCGCCGAGGAAACGCTCTCCGCGGAGCCGGAGGTAGGTAAGATTTACGCGGGTAAGGTCGCGAATATCGTGCCTTTCGGCTGTTTCGTTCAGCTGGAGGGTTTGCGACGCCGTTGGGAGGGCCTGGTTCATATCTCTCAATTGAGGCGGGAGGGTCGAGTGGCAAACGCGAGCGACGTCGTCTCCAGAGGACAGAAAGTTCTAGTGAAAGTTCTCAGCGTCGGTGGACAGAAGGTATCTCTTAGCATGAAGGACGTCGATCAGGAAACCGGGAGGGATTTAAATCCCGTGGTGCCAATCGCGAAGGCCGACGAAGACGAAAAGCATTTACGTAATCCGGATAGGCCTACCTCTTTGCTAGAGCTTCAAGGTAACTACGACGAGGACGAGACGTACTCTAGAAAGCGCGTGCAACGTTTGTCGTCGCCGGAGAAGTGGGAGATCAAGCAGATGCTGGCTGCATCGTGCATTGACAGGAGCGAGTTGCCGGAATTCGACACGGAGACTGGAATTTTGCCACGAGAGGACGACGAAGAAGAGGACGTGGAGATCGAGCTTGTCGAAGAGGAACCGCCGTTTCTGCATTGTCACGGTAGAGCACTGGGTGATCTCAGTCCCGTGCGGATAGTGAAAAATCCGGATGGCTCGCTGGCGCAGGCGGCGATGATGCAGAGCGCTCTGGCAAAGGAGCGAAGGGAACAAAAGATGCTGCAGCGCGAGCAGGAGATGGATTCTGTGCCCACCGGCCTGAATAAGAATTGGATAGATCCGTTACCTGAAGCGGAGAGTCGCACCCTCGCGGCGAACATGCGTGGCATTGGCTTACAAACGCAAGATCTACCTGAGTGGAAGAAGCATGTGATAGGCGGTAAAAAGTCATCGTTTGGCAAGAAGACTAATCTGACACTGTTGGAGCAACGTCAGAGCTTGCCAATCTATAAGCTGCGCGATGATCTGGTGAAAGCCGTGACGGACAATCAGATTCTAATTGTAATTGGAGAGACCGGCTCGGGCAAGACGACGCAGATCACGCAGTATCTAGCCGAGTCCGGTTTCACTGCGCGCGGCAAGATTGGCTGTACGCAACCACGTCGTGTTGCAACGATGAGTGTGGCTAAAAGAGTGGCGGAGGAGTTTGGTTGCTGTCTAGGCCAAGAAGTGGGTTACACCATCCGTTTCGAGGATTGCACCGGGCCAGAAACTAGTATCAAGTACATGACGGATGGTATGTTGTTGCGTGAGTGCCTGATGGACCTTGATCTGAAAACATATTCAGTGATTATGCTGGACGAGGCGCACGAGCGAACGATACATACAGACGTGTTGTTCGGTCTGCTAAAGCAGGCGGTAGGCCGCAGACCTGATCTCAAACTGATCGTCACCAGTGCTACTCTGGATGCGGTCAAGTTCTCACAATACTTCTTCGAGGCACCAATCTTCACTATACCCGGACGCACATTCGAGGTCGAGGTAATGTATACGAAGGAGCCAGAGACTGACTATCTGGACGCTGCACTTATCACTGTCATGCAGATTCATCTACGTGAGCCGCCAGGCGATATCCTGCTCTTTCTCACTGGTCAAGAGGAGATTGACACTGCCTGTGAGATCCTTTACGAGCGCATGAAGTCACTAGGCCCAGACGTACCGGAGCTAATCATTCTCCCAGTCTATTCAGCCTTGCCCTCAGAGATGCAGACCAGAATATTTGAGCCGGCTCCGCCCGGCTCACGCAAGGTCGTCATCGCCACGAATATCGCTGAGACCAGTCTAACGATTGATGGAATATATTATGTCGTCGATCCAGGCTTTGTCAAACAAAAAGTTTACAATTCCAAGACCGGCATGGACAGTCTTATAGTGACGCCGATTAGTCAGGCAGCAGCAAAACAGAGAAGCGGAAGAGCTGGCAGAACCGGACCTGGAAAGTGTTATCGGCTTTACACCGAGCGAGCTTATAGAGACGAGATGCTACCCACACCGGTCCCGGAGATACAACGTACGAATCTGGCCACCACTGTGCTGCAACTGAAGACTATGGGCATCAACGATCTTCTGCATTTTGATTTCATGGATGCGCCGCCAGTGGAATCACTAATCATGGCATTGGAGTCGTTACATAGTTTGAGCGCTCTCGATAACGAGGGTCTACTTACACGGCTGGGTCGGCGAATGGCAGAATTTCCGCTGGAACCGAATCTGTCCAAGATGTTAATCATGAGCGTGCATCTTCAGTGCTCCGACGAGATTCTAACTATCGTCAGTATGCTGTCCGTTCAAAATGTTTTCTATCGACCGAAGGACAAGCAGGCTTTGGCCGATCAGAAGAAAGCCAAGTTCAATCAACCCGAAGGCGATCACCTGACTCTATTGGCAGTCTATAATTCCTGGAAAAACAATAAATTGAGTAATGCCTGGTGCTACGAGAACTTTGTGCAGATAAGAACATTGAAGCGTGCCCAGGATGTGCGTAAGCAATTGCTGGGTATAATGGACAGGCATAAATTGGACGTAGTGTCAGCCGGCAAAAATACAGTGCGGATACAGAAAGCGGTGTGCTCGGGATTCTTCAGAAACGCTGCGAAAAAAGATCCACAGGAGGGCTACAGGACGCTAGTCGACAGCCAAGTGGTGTACATTCATCCAAGTAGCGCATTGTTCAATCGCCAGCCGGAATGGGTAATCTATCACGAATTGGTACAGACTACGAAGGAGTACATGAGAGAGGTGACGACGATCGATCCGAAATGGCTGGTGGAATTTGCACCCGCATTCTTCAAGTTCAGCGATCCGACCAAACTCAGCAAGTTTAAGAAGAATCAAAGACTGGAACCACTCTACAATAAGTACGAAGAGCCGAACGCGTGGAGAATATCGCGAGTTCGCAGGCGACGTAATTAAAGAACACACTTATAATCTGTGTAAATATTATTTCGGTACAGTAATTTGACTTGACGTTTCACTTTTCTGAAAGTTGTAGAAATATAGAATAAGCGATCTTAACGCTCAGTGTTTTTATCATTTTTATGCAGCAACAGCTTGTACCTATAGTGACTTTGACAAGACTTTGTGGAACATGAACATTGTTTTGCACGTGTAATATATTACATTTTCGATACATGTAAAAAAAACTTTTTGTTATTAGGAAATAAGGAATAAGGCAGTTTATGATATGAAGATATTGAATTGTTTTATTATGTCATTCTGAAATTGGAGAAATGTAACGTAATCGTGGAATTATGTACAAGAATGCAGTTATAAAAAAAGGATTATTTACAGGTCTCTGTAGTGTACATATTTGTAAACATTGTAAATATATAATCACTCATTCACATCATATTAGATCTTCGATATTTTTCAACGTTTATCACCAGAGATTACTTTGATAGGTATATGATACATTGAGTAATCAAGTCTTCTGAGAGAAGAGGGCATTGTTTTAAGATTATACGCTTTCAGTCTTTCCCCTCTTAATTAATTATTAAATTTATTAAATAAATACATTCTCGATAACATTTAATATAAGATGACATAGGAAGGATTTCCCTATTTAATTTATTCTTTCTTTTCTTAAATTCATTTCTGACTTTTTTTTATAATAACCGAGTTTTTTTAAGGACGCATATTCATATTACATGTAACACAGTCGACGCACCATTTGTATAAAAGAATTTGTAGGAAATTTATGATTTTCCAGACGAACTGATATTTTTTATAATCAGGAAATATCACTTTTTCACTTTCACACTTATGGTATTGTTTAGTAATACTATTTCTTGGCTTGACGGTACAAAGTACATTTTTGAGAAAACAGAATTCTATACAAATTGAACTATTGAGATTGCTGCTTCTTTTTCACTAATTCCACCAATTGTTTATAGC